GTAACATCTTTGTTTCAGCAGGATGATCTTACAATCAATTTGTGTGGTCTTTTCCAGCCAAGTTGTAAACACATCTAGAGATTCTTTCAACAAGACCTTTGCTTCCTCCTGTTGAGCTGTGGACAGGTTTTGCCCCAGAGCAACCTCACTGGTTGGGAGTTGAATTCTCTTTCCAACACTGCTGATATTGCTGAGAAAGCAGTTGAGGCATTCAGTGCTTCACAGGCTCACTATAGTTTCAGAAGATTCACAAGATATATTTGAGCCTCATGTTGCCTCCTCACCTTCATAAGCCAGGTTTCCAACTTGCCCTTTCTCTCATAGGGGTTCTGTCATTTAGCGAGCAATTTCTCTCTGACAAGGGGAGCAACAACAGGACCTGATCCCCAGAGGGATAGACCCAGAGTTTTATATTCTTATTATGTTGTTGTTATTGGGTTTGTTGTGTAGCCTTGAGGTTCACCCAGGCAAATACCCATACTAGGTTCAGTCATTCCTATGGCCTAAAACATATTGGATGATATTTTGAGACTTCATGCTCTGTACCTGCCAGGTCTTATGGAGGAGGTCCAATACACCTCTGGTCTGCCTCCTGTATAGCAGTTCAAAGGGAGAGAATCCCATGAAGTATTGGGGACCCAGTAAGTACAACAGAATTATATCCCACATACAGGGTTCTCCAGCTACATACTTTCTCAACATCTCCTTCAGAGTTCAGTTAAACCTCTCCACAGACCATCCATCTGAGGGTGGTAGGTGGAGGTCTTGACCAGGTGGACTTCGATAGGGCCCATATCTCTTGCAGTAGCCACAACAAAAAAGACCATGCCTTGATCTGGTAGTATCTTCCGGGAGCGGGGGGAGGGGCTACCTATAAAACATTCTTTAACAGTTCTGTGGCAGTAGCTATTTTTTGGGCTAAGGCATAAGGGATCACCACCACTTCCAGGTACCGGGTAGCATTCCCCATTGTCACAACCCAATTAAATTGTGCCCATGCCACTGAGCAAGAGATACCATTCAAATCATCCTCATTTTGATGATTAAGGGTTAAAAGACATCCCTGCCAAAAATTCCTTGAAACAAAACGCGGCCGGAGTACTGTAGATAATTGGTCAGCTGAAATAAAATGCTAGGGGAAACTATATAAAATTGGTCCAAAAATAAGCGTAAGCTCCTCACACGTAGCACACACGTAACAGGTAGAGAAACCTAACCCACTACCTTGTAACTTGAGGAGACAAAGAGCTGCCACCTGCCAAAAAATTAAAGATTCCATATAACGGTTCACGATTGGGCATCTCTGTCAAACACCTCTGCTTATAAATAGTTTAACGGTTTCCGCCCAAGTCGGAGAGCTCTGGGGATCTCGCAGGAAACACCTGTGCTTGTCACCAGAGAATTGGGAAATTGATCAATTCCCAATCAATCACCCCGTCAGCGTAAAATATTGACGTAGAAAGTCTTGCAAGCTCGACCGTTCATTCCCGGCGCCACGTCCATCATTATCTCGTTATAACCTAACTGCGTGCGTGTACTCGACTCTGTAACCGAAGTTATATGCGTATACTCAACTCTATAACCGAAGCTGTAACAGAACAAAGGCTCGCCTGCGTCGTCCATCACTATCTAGGCGACGTAAGTAAACAAACTCCTGTAACCTACACGTGTCTGTGCCTGGTTAATTCCACTCCATCCATCAATTACCCGCCTGCCCAGCTCTAAATCTAAACACTCCGGTGTGCGAGTCAGACAAGCTGCCGGCGGCTGCTCTGATTCACGACACCCATGAGCATAAAATGGTACCCATTTGTGCTCAGCTTCAGCGGCCTGACAATACCTACCCTGACTCATTCCAAGGGGGTACCCACCAAGGGAGGAAGTACCAGTGGCACTTGATGCCTTGGGCATGGGGCTACCAACTGGCAATTGGGACAAGACACACAGTAGTCATTAATGTTCTAGTAAATCTCTGGCCAAAAGAATCTGGCAAGCACCCACTTCTGTATTTACTTGACCCCCAGATAGCTTGCCCAAGTTATGTCATGGTCCAACTTCAAAACTGGTTGTAATGCATGTTTGGCAGTGGTAACTGGTACTTCTGGGTGCCAATCATCTTGTCCTGAAAGACCCTCATCAGGACACCTCCTTGTAGTTCAAAGTGGGGATCCTGGGCAACAAGGTAAGGATCTATCACAATGTCATTCACCTGGGCCAACTATCCACAGACCGGGGCAAAGATGGGGTCTTCTCTCTGGCTCTGTATGAAGTCAGGTCCTTCTCCTATGGATGCACCTCTCTCTGGCAGGTTGCCCAAGGACCTCAGCCCTGCAGAGTTTTCCTCACAGCCACCCAGATCACAATGGATCCTATAACCCTTACCCAGCCTTTTACCAGACTCTCCCCCTGATGAAAGGGTTTCCCAATGTGAGGTAGCTCAGGGTCCAAACACCTCAGAATCAAATCTCCCCAAGGTAGTTCTCAAGGTGATCTTGCATCTCTAGATCCTGCCTGCATCTTGATCCCAGTCCTGACCCACCATTACCAGTTGGTAAAAGTGGCTGGCCACCACTGCAGTATACTCAGCCATTTGGCCCCCAATCAATAGCCACACTCTCGCACTTGGATAGGGCCTAATATCTCCATGAATACAGATTGCATATATGCACTGTGTGATTGATAAATAAGCAGGGTCCACAAGCCTCTCATGAACAAATGTCTGTCCAGAGCCTGAATCTACCAGTCCCAGGACCTGAATATCCCCCACCTTCCCTTTGTTCACATAGGCTCTTTGTTTTGGGATCTTCTGTATCTCAGAGATCCTGGACTGTATATAACTGGAGTCTGTCTGGGGACAATGAGTGGTCCAGTCATTCACACAAAAACAGATCAAGAATTCCCCTTCCCCAGATCAAGAATTCCCCCTACATTCCGGAGAGAATCTTCATCTCCCAACCATGTGGAGCAACATGACTGAGCCCTTCCTCATCTCCTTGGGGATCACAGCAGGGTTTTTGGACTGGATGCCCCAACCCAATAACCTTTTAGCTATAGGAGGTTCTCCTTGCCTTGAATTTGTGCTTTGTCGGGCCTGTCCCTTTGGCTTGGCAGGATTCATAGATGTTAGGATCAGAAGGGACCTCAATAGATCATCGAGTCCGACCCCCTGCATAGGCAGGAAAGAGGGCTGGGTCTAGATGAACCCCG